GGAACACAACAGAGATGGAGTGGGAGAAAAGTGTGGAACAGAGCCTAAATTCACATAAAAAGACCAGACTTAATATTCTGACTGAGACTGGGGGGACCCCCAAAGCCATGGCCCCCAGATGCTGTTAACCCAGAACTAAAACCATTCCCAAAGACCATTCTTCAAATAAAGATTAGACTGGACTATAAAACATAAAATAATACTCGTGAAGCGTGTGCTTCTTAGTTCAAGCAGGTAACACGAGTCCAAAGGGCCGGCTCCTGTCCAGAGGCAAGATGAGAAGGCAGGAAGGGACAGGAGCAGGTTGGATGGACACGGAAAACCCCTGGTGGAAAGAGGGAGTGTACTGTCACATCGTAGGGATTGCAGCCAGTGTCACATGACAGTATGTGTTTAAAATTTTGTATGAGAGATTAACTCCAGCTGTAAACTTTCACCTAAAGTACAATTTAAAAATTTTTTAAAGAACAACCAAAATGAGGATAATAGTTCCTAGTGAAAACTACCGTTGTGAGGGCAATGGTGGTTCAGTGGTAGAATTATCACCTTCCATGCAGGAAACTGTGAGTTGGAATCGACTCAGTGGCAATGGGTTTGGTTGCTGTGAGTTTATGCTGGAGACTCGGGCTTGATTCCTAGCCAATGAGCCTCAGGCGTAGCCACCACCCATCAGTCATTGGAGGCTGGTGTGTTGCTATGATGTTGAATAGGTTTCAGTGGAGCTTCTGGACTAAGATGGACTAGGAAGAAAGACTTGGTGATCTATTTCTGAAAAACCAGCCAATGAAAACCCTATGCATCACAATGGTCCAATCCACAACAAATCATGGGACTGGGCAGCATTTTGTTCCACTGTGTCTAGTGTCGCCATGAGTAGGGGACCAGCTTGACAGCAGTGAACAACAGCAAAAATTACCATTGTTAACTGAGCACCGATTATGTGCCAAGCACTTTGCTAGACACTTTATGTGTATGAAATCCTCAGGACAACTACATGTTGTTATTTCCCCCCACTTTACAGATAAAGAAATTGATGCTTGCAGAGATTAAATAATTTGCCTCAGGGCACATTGCTGGTAATTGTTCAGCAGGGATTTCAATACGGGTCATATTAACCCAGAGGCCACACTTTTCATCTCTAATAGCTTTGGGAACTTTACTAAATATGTATGCCCCAAAACCATGCACAGAATAGACGCTTAGTGAATATTTGTTAAATTTAAATCAGTAAGGATATGGCCAATTTGTGCCACCAGCTACTGTCCAGCAACTTTTTTCAAGCCAATCAAAAATCACGCTGATGTCCTAAAAGCTTCTAATGAGAACATTAGCTGTCAATTACACAAGTAAACCATTACATTGGGAACAAAATGGCTGGTACATGGACACAATGTGCTTGTTTCCTAATTAGTATCAGGCCTATCCCAGCAGATGTCAGGATGAACCACCATTACTAACCATAAATTGGCATGTCAGTCTTTGGCTTCAAGGGCGGTTTTCTTCCTTCAGTGATATTGGTGATTAAATAACTGTACAGGTGCTACCGGGCAGTGATATCTGGAATGAGACCATGGAGTCCAAATAAGGGGAATAGTCTAGAAAAAAAGAAAAGAAGACGAAATTACCTGGGCTGTGAGATTGGAAATGGTAAGGTAGTTTGACAATTGGGAAACAGTGACCCAAACTACTGATGCATAAGGAGTTGATTGTTCCAGAGCAGGAATGATATGGGAGGTTGGGTGAGGCAGATGGCGATGCAGCTGGAATGCTAGTCTGTATTTCGCTGATGTTCTTTTTATTTTCTGACGTTCAGAGCAGAGCCTAGTATTATGATGATGATGATGATTATGTCTATGGCTGGGAATATTTTGAGCACTATTGGCCCTGTTTTTTTTAGGAATGAGTTGGTGTAACCTAGTTATTAGGTCACATGCTGTACAGTCAGGCATACCTAGGTTTGAATTTCATCTCTAGTTCAAGATCTGGATACAGAGTAGGTGCCCAGCCTTTGTCTAGCCCTAGTATAGGATGAAGACCCTGATAATTCACAATGGAAAATTATTTTTACCCTTTTTTTCATTGAGCCTCTAATACGTTAGGTACATTTAGATGCCCATTCATTATTTATTGGCTTCTTGATTATCAAATGTGTATTAGAGAAGTTTTCACTAATGTATTGATTTGAATCTCACTCCTTGAAATCCCTAGTCTGGTTCCTTGCTTTCTATGTTTTGACTGGGAATGTTCTATGGCTCAGTGACAATATTTTTCAGATAAAAAATGTGTACAAAGGATTTGATTCTGAATTGTGGCATTACCTCAATGAACAGACATGCAAAGGTACAAAAATAAAATAGTAATTACATGTTTAGTAAATGAGCTAACCTGGAAAGAGAGCAATCTGTAAAATGAGGACTCTCCCAGGAGGACATCTAGTACATATGCCTACCATAAAGTATGGCTACAGCTCTCCACTCACTTCATAGAATATTCAGAATAGATCTAAACATACTGGTTGCTGCTCAGATCACGTGTGTGGCCCCACACCACAAGACAGCCCTTCTCTTCTCTGTAACAGAGCATGGCCAATAACCAGTTGCTGTCAAGTCAACTCTGACTCAGGGCAACCCCATGTGTGTCAGAATAGAACTGTGCTCCATAGAGTTTTCAATGGCTGATTTTTGGAAGTAGACCACCAGGCCTTTCTTCAGAGGCACCTGTAAGTGGACTTGAACCTCCGACATTTCGATTAGCGGCCAAGCACATTAACCATCTGCACCACCCAGGGACTCCAGCAGGGCATGGCTGTGGGAGGTGGAATCCTCACTGTCACTTAGAATCCTGAAACAGCAACTTGTGACTGGAGGAGAAGGATGGGAACTTAACCAGCTAAATGCCTCGCCTGAGAAAATTTGATTTCTTAGCGCTGGCAGTTGGAATCTCTTCTCCAGAATCCAGCTGAACTCCCAGCTTTTAAGGAATTTGCTTCAGAAATGAAGGTCTCATTCTCTACTTTGAGAAACTGCTTACTTTCATTCTCAAAACCCATTGCTCAGGTACCTAGAAGGGGTCTGAGTTCTTGGCCAAAATGTTTCCTTCTAATGGTTAACATGCTCGGCTGCTAACCGAAGGGTTGGAGGCTTGAGTCCACCCAGAGGTGCCTCAGAAGAAAGGCCTGGTGATCTACTTCTGAAAAATCAGCCATTGAAAACCCTATGGAACACAGTTCTACTCTGACACACACGGGGTCACCATAAGCTGAGTCAACTGAATGGCAACAGTTTTTTTGTTGTTGTTTGTTTGTTTTTAGAAAGGGGAAGGGTGGGAAAAGCATTTAAGAGTGAGGTTTTAGCTTCTCACTGGGGCCTGCTGCCCTCCCCCAATTTCATCATGCCCATTTGGTCTTCCAGGCATCCTAGCTAATGAATGGCCAAAAAAAGCAGCAATCATTAAAAGAGAGAAATGGTTATTGTAAAATTTAATAGAACCATGGGAGTGATAATAAAAGCATGTATTGAAAGCTTGAAATTAGTACAGAGAACATAAGCCTGGTTTGGAGCGACAGAGACTGCATTTATCATTCTAGATATTCAAAGGTCGCTGTGTACAAGTTTCTCTCCCTTTTAATGAAACTCTCAAAAGCCGTGGCAAAAAGCGTTCTGCGTGGCTGCCCAAGATCTGCCCTTCAGACGATTGAGATAGCTTTCACCCAACTCAACCCCAGGAGTCATTTCTCAGGGCAAAATTGGATGGCATTATCAAAACAAAAATGGGATTGTTTCTCAAAGTGGAGAACTTTGAAATAAAAAGTGTTTGGCAATAATAGTTGAGAGGCTCTCGGACAGCATTCTGCTGCCGGAGCATGTTTTCAAGGGCCCCAAGTATGCAACAAAGGACATCCACAGAACACCACTACAGCGCAAGCCTGGATTTACTTTAATGGGGTCAGGTAAGAAACGCTGCATTTTAAGTGTCTGGTTTTGGCTAATGTTCAAAGGAAACTTTTAAAGTACTAACACTGTAAGCCTGAGATTGCACAAACTCCAGTGCTAGCAGTGGAATTGAACATAATATCATTAGGGATGGAGAACAGTAGAGAAAACATTCCCAAGAGCATCTACTGGGCTGCCCCAGTGAGGATCAGTGTGATGGGGCATCTCTGCCTCTGCCCATTCCAGTCAACATTTGTGATTCAAATGTCCGGTAGGCTGATAGTAGACATGAATCTATAGAAGCTAGGGTACTGGTTTCTTCTGTGTAGGTTTTCCTGATAATTCATGGAACTGTAAGATAAGCCAATTTATTTTTTAAACCTCTGATCCTTCCTGTTTCCTGTTAATTGTAATCAATCCCATAGGTTTTCTGCGTATGTATTATTTTAGGATACATGGGTTGCAAGCAACAGAAACTGTAATCAACTTGAGCAAAAGAAAGAAAAAGGAGCAAGAGAGGGAGAGAAGATATAGGATGGTTAATAGATTGAAGAAAAGGCTTACAAACCAGCCTTTGGATTGGGCAGAAGCAAAGGGAATCTGAGAATCTAGCAGTAGGAACTAAAAAATATTCTCTTCCAGAGACCTCCATCTTAGGGAACCAGTTTTGAGATGATTTGGTACCAACTATTTTCACACTGGAGCCCTGGTAGCACACTGGTTTAGAGCTCAGCTGCTAACCAAAGGATTGGCAGTTCGAATCCACCAGCTGCTCCTTGGAAACCTTATGGGGCAGTTTTACTCTGTCCTATAGGGTCGCTGTGAGTTGGAATCGACTCAACAACAGTGGTTTGGGTTTGGTTTGGTTTGGTTTATTTTCACATTCCCAAGAGAGAATCTTATTCTCCCAGCTTGACCAGGAGCAAGTTGGGTGTTTTGATTGCCAATTCTACCAAAACTGAAGGAAATGGGGGAGAAATAGCTACATTGATGGTTTCAGCTTTGAACTATCAGATCCACCACAGTAGATAACGCTGACACTCTTACCTCTTCCTGGTTCTCTTTCAGTCGTCGAAGAAGTTTTTTCCCGTCACATTCTTCGGCGCCATCACCTGGATTGCAGTATTCTCTTACTTGATGGTCTGGTGGGCACACCAGGTAAGACCTTGTTAGTGGGTAATCAGTGTGTTTGCTTTCTGAAACTGTCACAACAGCACTGGGTCTGATGCAGATGAGTTACATATTGTAGGACTAAAAGAATTTACTCCACTTAACTTTCCCTGTAACATGAAGTCAAAGTGACATAGCCCTGTTACCACAAAATGCAGGTCTGAGCCACCTGCCGCAAAAGCCAATACTGAGACCGGGGCGAGGTGAGCAACGAGAGTGTTTTATTGTATATCAATATACAGGAGACAGAGGGGAATGAGCTCCTCCAAAATCTGCCTCTCCTCTCTAGAGGTTGATCAGAGGATTTTATCGGGACAGGGTCAGGGTCTGAAGAATCTGTGGAATGTTAGTTCCCCTTTCAGGTGGGCACATCTTCAATGGTGAAATGTCAGGGAGGGCAAATCAGCCCCAGGACTTCGTGCCACTGTCAGGCCATGTACCCTGGATTCAATGACCAACTGGCTTTTGTAACTCTGATTTTACAGCTTCCCTTGCTGAGTCTTGAAAAATACCATACCGAGGCTGCACGCTAGCCCTGTATAGATCTTTTTTATTTGAAATTTTCTGTTTAATTCTCACACAATCATTCCTGACTTCTCAGGTCTGAATATCGTTAGAGTATAAATTCCTCTAGTGCAATGATTGTGGCTTATTCATCTTTGTAATCACAGCGCTCAGCACAGCACAGAGTAGAAACTCATTGAAAGGTGGTTGCATTGAAATGTTTGTGGTTTTGCTGATGTTGTGGCTTCAAACACTCACATGTTTCTCTCTATCATCACATTTAGGTTGGAGAGACAATTGGCATCAGTGAGGAGATTATGGGCCTGACCATCTTGGCTGCTGGGACTTCCATCCCTGATCTTATCACCAGCGTCATAGTGGCCCGAAAGGGACTTGGGGACATGGCCGTGTCCAGCTCTGTTGGAAGCAATATTTTTGACATCACCGTAGGGTGAGTAGAGGTGCTTCTATAAAGGTGTACATGAGCTCCACCTCCAAACACATCTTCCTAGAAGCAGCCTGTGGAGACAAAATCAGGATCTTTTGGCCTAAAACTAACAATAGAAAGTAAAAATAAGGAGTACCATTCAGGTTCACAGACTCCATTTTCCTTTTTCAGAGAATTTACTGAAGGAAAAGTCATCCTTAGGCAGAGGAATCCCTGGGTGGCATAAACGATTAACATGCTGGGCTGCTAACCTAAAGGTTGGAGGTTTGAGTCCACCCAGGGGTGCCTGGGAAGAAAGTCCTGGTGATCTACTTCTGAAAAATCAGCCATTGAAAACTCTATGGAGCACAGTTCTACTCTGACACACATGGGGTCACCATGAGTTGGAATCGATTCAACAGCAACTGGTTAGACAGACAGAAATGCATACCTGCATACAGAATGAATGTTTACTAAATACATTAAGAGAATTTCATTTCTATACAAAGGCATTGAAAAATGGAGATGATGACTGTACTACACAGGATCATTGTGTTGTCAAATGGATATTCAATATGAATATCTTATGAATATTCTTATGAATATTCAGTATTCAGGCATGACTGAGATGCTCTGGTAGTTTCATTCTATTTGTTCTATTTTCTAAATCTAATTAAAGTCCTCACTAGCCTCGGATGAGATGTAGATTGTAAAGTAGATAAGGACAAGCATAGGTCCCGCACAAATATCCCATCTCCTTCCTTGGGAAATGCTGTCATTTGTTTATCTGTGCTGGTGAAGATTTTCCAGGTTTTTTTTAAAGTCAGAAGATGAAATCTTTTCTTACATTTAGAAAATTGAAGTTCTTTATATGAACAGTCTCTAAAGTGGGTTAGATTATGAAGGGGTGCCATTATCTCTACCATTTCATTTAACTTGTCAAAAGCAAAAATAGTCTACAAGTAACCCTGGAAGGCAGCCTCCCGAGAAAGTAAGACCTAGAATGTTATTCTTCTAAAATGCATGTACGTTCTCACTGAACATTATGAACATTGCTCTCTCATACCTTTTCATTTCCACATATATGATAATATCTATTATTTTTCATACAGTGTCTACCATGTGCATTATACATACATTTTTATCCATTTGAACAACGCAACGATCCTGTGTAGTACAGTCGTCATCTCCATTTTTCAATGAGGACACTAAAAGGTAGAGTTCACACAACTAGTAAATGATGCCAGTGCTGCCTTCTCCATCTGAGGAGCTGAAATTACACCTGTTTCCTAAGCTAACCCTGTGGCACCCCTCCCTCAACCACCTCCACTAACGTAAGCACCTTCTTCGCTGTGTCTGACTGCTCCTCCTGGTCTACCCACATCTCTCTTCCCTTGCTCCTCTGCCTCACAGGCTCCCCCTGCCCTGGCTCTTGTACACCATCATCCACAGATTCCAACCAGTGGCTGTCAGCAGCAATGGCCTGTTCTGTGCTATCGTCCTCCTCTTCATCATGCTGCTCTTCGTCATCCTCTCCATCGCCCTCTGCAAATGGCGGATGAACAAAGTCCTCGGCTTCATCATGTTCGGCCTCTACTTTGTGTTCCTGGTGGTCAGCGTCCTTCTAGAAGACAGAATTCTTGTGTGCCCTGTCTCCATCTAGCAGGAAAAGCCATATCTTGAACTAACAGCATGGACAGTCCCTTCCTGCTCTGGGCTCTCAGCTCCTTGACCTCTTGAGAAGAAGGCAGCTGGCACACAGCCTGGGTGTTTCGAGTGACCTTCCTCAGATCTGAGGAGGGATGGATTCACACTGGGCCCATTCACTCCACAGACTGCTTCCATCCTTGCCCACTGAGACGGCTTCATGTAAGAGACAAAGAGAACCGTCAGCTGGGGGCTTCTCTCCATTCACCACTGACAGGTACTCCTCGCTGGTCGGAGGTACATTCGTTGTAACGATGCAAACAATGACAGAGGCTATATACATATTATACATATTATAAATACATGCACATGACACACACACCTGCCTGTTCCTGTACTGTACCTCTCCTTCCACACCTATAGATTAATATATACCTGTATACAAACACAAAGAAAAAATTATATATATATATATAATTTTATATATGTATAAGTACAAATGCATCTTTTCAGGGATAGCTCTAGTATATTTATAGCTCCTATCAGAAGAGGGGCATCAACCTTCAGTCTGGACTTTACCTCTAGCACAAGAAGTTAATGGAATCAATAGACAAAGGTAGCATTGCTGTGACCTTTAGATACCTTGGACTTACCTGGATATTGCATGGTAATGTGGAGGGTTTAGGGAAGTAGGTTACAGGGAGAGGGCTTGATAGAGAACACCTGTGGGGACTGAATTGAACCCTCCAAAGCACTCCCACAAGCTAAGCAGGGAAAACTATCTTCCCACCCCCACGGGGGTACACTGACTATTTGAAACTCATGGGGGTACTTGGGACAGACAGAGGTAAAACCCAGACTGATTCGGGGACGGGGGGAGGTGAGCAGGGTGGTGGTTTGTTTTGTTTTGTTTTGCCTTATATCGCCCCAGCATGCAAGTAGAAGATAAGACTGCAAGCCAAATTAGCTCTATTCTAGGACAGGAAAACTATATCAATTGATCCTGTACTGTTCCAATGCATGTCTCATTATCATCAACAGAAGGGGGCAAATTTAGCTGTGATTGTCATTTAGACGTATTTTGATGCTAAGGGCTCACATATAGTCAAAATGCTGCCAAGAAGCCCAGATGTGTGATAAAGAATACCTTCTAGTAGAGGAGCTCAATGGAACTTGCCACCCAATGGGAATGCAAGAGCATAGTTCTTTAAAGCATCTTCCAATGTGCTCATAAAGGGCCTCAGTGTCTGAGGAAATCGTTATTTCTCTAGTAGAGCTAAATTAACTATGATCAATACTTAGAGATGTTTGGAAAGGCATTTGTGCACACAGCACATCCCAGGATGGTTTCTGAGTCCTATGTCAGGCCATGCCAAGACCAGTATTTGGTTAAGCCTATGCAACATCCGTGTCTCTACTTCCATCAGGACCCCATCTAGGACTGTTTGTAGCCTATAGAGCGTGCTAAAGATTATACTCGACAGCTTCTTTGTGCCGATTTCCAGCCAGTCTCTCCAAGGTTTCGATTTCCTGATTTTGCTCAGCATTGCATGGAATATTGCATTTCAGTCACTCAGCGCCCCCAAGTTCTGTTTGATACTTTGTATGCTTTTTCAGCTCTATGTCAGTAGAAAATAAACCCACAAGGAAAAAAAAAGGCCAACTAAATTGATTTTAAAAATATGTAGAGCTTTTTATTTTCCCAAGTCATGCTTACATTAAAATCCATTAAAAGACAACTCCAAATGCTCAATCTGTAAAAGAAAAAATTGGTGTTAGACTTCATTAAAATTAAAAACTTGTGCTCTGCTAAAGACACTGTTAAGAGAATAAAATCAATTGGAAGAGTTACTAGGGGATGGCCCATTATCCTGTACCCATTGTATGTCTGGGTTGACGGACACCACATACGGGAAACTAACACTGTATGTGATCTTGTCTCCAGTCTATTCTGTCACTGATGTCAGCTATGATTTTGTTGTGAGCGCACATCTCCTAACACAGGGAGCCAGGGTGCAAAACTCACAGCTGAATCAAGAGGAAGAGAGACCTGACAACCCCAGGTCAAGCCTGGTATTCCTTCCGCAAGACTTCAGCTTATTCCACAGAGTAACAGGCAGTGTCCATCATAGCTCTTCACACAGAAGCAAAAGCACCCCTAAGTAGAGGTCCACTGGAAAAACGAGAAATCGAGACACTTCACCTAGCCGCCTACGCTTCACGTCTCTCCAACTCTGTCAAGTCGGGTTTTCAGGTGTGTGAGAGAACGCTGCATCTTGTTCATCAGGACAGAATTTTGTAATGAGGCAAGAATTTGTGCCCATTCCTTAGTGTGAAAGAGAAGGAGTATGTGAACTTTAGTTAAAAACTCTGTTTTCCCCGTGCATTACTTGAAGGAAAGAAAAGTTGGTTATTGTATGAATACATATTGTTGACCAGTTTGTTACTGGAAAGAAGGTTTGAATAGGTGACTTTGATTCACCTATTCTACCACCTACAGCGGGTAGACTAGGTAGGACAAGAAAGGTTGAGTGAGGTCCATTGCCACTTTGTTCTTCTTCTCGTGCTTCCTGATCCTCCCTTCTGCCTCCCCAGCCCTTCCAGTTCATTCCCAGCTCAAGGTGAAGATAATCCAAGCAGCCATGGAGCATTTTCCTCCCCTGAAAACTCCTCCTCACTGGGGTTGTTGTGGTCATTGATGAAAAGTTGTATTTAAGAATACAGTGTTCCAAGCCCAGTTCCCATCTCAGTGATGTGCACTGAGCATGACCTACAACAGCAATGCTCCCTCGCTGACTGGTATGTAGACACCTTCTCCTTTCCACCCGTTGCCCCTGATCTCCCCTCATTAATGTGTCTATGCGGGTATGGTTGTGTGTTTGGCTAGGGTACATCCAGAGAGAAGTGTATAAAATGCAACAATGGGTCTTTAAAAGCATTCAAATTTTTGACATAATTATAAGAAAGAACTTTCCAGAGCTTGGTCTCCAGAGTAAGTAATCTCCAACTCTTTTCCTGCATGCCTGTGTGTATACGTATATAAATATCTCTGTGTTTATACCAGGTCTATACGTACACACACAATATCAGCTACATCATCACTCTCTGACCCAGTCACATACAGGATTCAAAAGCAGGGAGCATCAAGTTTGCCAAAGTCAAGGAAGAGGAAAGTCATGTGCACCATCAACCAAAGGCAAGATTTCTTCCTGATCTCACAAGGTTGCTTTGTGTACACAGACATACAAACATACACGTATGTACTCCTATTGTCATACCCAAGAAATATAGACTTATAGCCTTAAGGAAATAACCAGCCATATCCCTGATGCTAATTTTGAGGCAAAGTATACACAACAGAAAAGTACGGGAGAAAATGTAGACAATAGATACTCTCATCCCTTCCCTGGAGCAGGGTGTAAAATAATACTAAAAATTCAAGAGCCAACCTCCTACCACTCCATCTAAAGTAAATGAGCTGTACCAAGTAGTTCTATTTCCCCCCAGCAAACCAAGCAGGGCTTGCTTGCTGTCACCTCCCCTGTAACCCTAGGCAGCCTCAGGACAGAAGAGCAATTTGGCTTGAACCAAGAATGTCCGAACAGAACCTTCTAAATTGCATCTGAAAATGTTTCTGCTGAGTCCAGCTGCCCTTTGAACCTGACCTGCTCCTGATTAACTGAAGCTGGACGTTAGATGGTATTTATGAAGCTTCCCAGGATCTAAACTGAGTTAGGCAGTGACAGATTGGTACAAGTACATGTTCAGGAGACCAAGAGAAGGGCTGTTTATTAACTTGGCAGATGCAGCAGAACATCCTAACAGCCTTGCGCAGAAGCTTATATAAAGAGGCATGGACTGTTTCATATTCAGGGAAAATGCTTTGTAAGGCTTCTAACAGGTGTCACCTGACAGGGGCCATTATTGTTTATTTTATGGGGAAGACATGAATCAGGTGGTTTGGAGGCCTTTCTGCAAAACACAGCTGCCTCACTGATTAGATATTTGATAATATTAATGGACATCCGTTCCTGGGCAGGGAGAGAGTTGGCAGACTCTCCAACATTGCTCACAGCTCTTAAACTCCTACGTAAGTGACAGAGAAGACGAGCTGCAAAGGGTAGAACCAAGAACACCTTAGCAGAATGCTGACCAAGGAAATGGCAACAGGCAGAGCTGATGGTCAGACAGAGAGGACAGGACTTCTGCTAAGTGCTGTGCTGAAATTACTGGATGGGAATATCTAACATGGGTTTTAATGGCTTGTCTGAATATAATTTCAATGTTCTTTCTTCCCTACATCCACCATACCACAAACACACACACACCATGTATCCAAGATTATGAGGATGCTAGGATGCTATACTTCCTTGCACCTGGGAAGATTGTTACTCAAATAATTAAGTGCCCATATTATGGGAGGCAGCACTGTTACAGAAGAAATAAAGGAAAACTGTTCCTGGGGTGATTTCTAGAGAAATCAACTCTCTTCTACAAGCTTACTGTAGAAGCAGGTGCTCATTCTAGCTAAACCAGTGCTTATATAACCACGGGGCTTAATATTTTTTAAAGATACTTCTTCAAGCCCTATACCTCCCTAAGCAATATTGTCTTCAGTTAGTTGGTAAGGGCTTGTCATTAAGAGTTGGTGGAAAAATAACAGAACGAGGCAGGGGGAGAAAGGAGAAATTAATTTACTTTTACTTGGGCTCCCAAGGAAGCAACTGTCACTTCAAAATATATTCCTATATAGTTTAAAGTATAGAATTACAAATATCCAGCTTTTTTTTTTTAATCAATTACAAAAGCCCATAGATAGTCCTAGATAAAAATGCTCCCTTATATAGAAAGTCTTGGCAAAGAAAGGTAACAACGTCCAGCTCCTCTATTTATGTGTAGCTCACTGCGTCTGTCTTTGTTTCTCTTTTTAATCTCATAGCATTCACATTCTTTGAAATATATAGCAAACAAGAAAAGCAATAAAGGAAATACCCACAGCCAGCTAAACTCCCATTACTTATTATTAAACCATCTCGATTTTTTTTTCCTTCATTTCACTGGGAGCTTTGAAATTGCACAGGCTGTGGCCTGTAATCACCAGGAGAATTTAGACTTCTCCAGAAATTATAGGTGCACTCTGCTTGCTGTGGAAGTCACTTGTGTTTTCCATGTCGACCCCACTAATCC